ACTGCAGTAGATCAGTCTATGGATTATATTCCATTCAGTGCAGTCAGCATAGTAAGCTTGTTTGCAATGTCTTGATGGGGAAACAAGACCAGCTGATTTAATTGTTGCCTCATGAGTTTGAGGTGATGTTAGAGTTCTTCGTTTTTTTCCAATATTGTGCTTAGGTAAACTATCGCCTGCGCTGAGTCAGTAATTCAGGTAGAAGGTTTTATATTTCTTCATAAAGCCATGGGTAATAAAAGATCTAAAGAAAATTGCTACAGTGTGTGAGAGCTTCATTCAGGATGCACGTTGCATCAAGTGGGTTTATAGATATAAAGAAATCAGAATCGCCCTTTTTGTTGCAATGTCATGCTAAGAATGTATCCATACAATTCAAAGCTTACTAGCTCTTTATGAATTAAAGACTTCAGAATATATGCCACAAACTTTGGTTTTATTCCCAGCCCACATATTTTTTTATTTATTTAGAAAATATGATGTCTCTCGTCGGAGTGAGGCAACATCCCAAAGGATCCTGATTAATCTGTATTTATAAGTCCCCAGTGCTGCTCAGAATTGTTGCATTATGATGAAACAGGAGGAGAGACCTCAAACAGTTGTGAATTTAGACGTCAAACAGTTGTGAATGTAGACGTCAAACAGTTGTGAATGTAGACGTCAAACAGTTGTGAATGTAGACGTCAAACAGTTGTGAATTTAGCATCACTTCCATCCCATTTCTTTTTCCTCTGATAAGTCTTTTCCAGACCTTCCCAGTCTAGATTATTATGGAAAAATAAGTTAATAGAGAACAACATGGCCGAGAGTTTTCAGATAAAATAGGGCGACCACGACAACATTAATGTAACACTTTCATGTTTTATCAATACCCTTGTAGATCGCAGTTGACTGGCCTTCTGTTCTGCAGCAGTTGAGCATGATTAAGACCCCGAAAACCATAAAAAAAACGTAAAAGCATTCACTTTGTAGAAATTGATTTTACGCATGGAATGATTTGATAAGCTGACAGGTGTTTTGGCAGAGTTTGGCACTGAGATTGATGGGTGTTTTCAGCAGATCTGTTGAGCCATGCAGAGTGGACTGTTCTCATAAAGCAGAGCAGTGAGTAACCGTTTGGTGTGTCCAACTGAAGACACGACCTCTTTGTAACGAACTGGACACATTTAATAATGTGCTTCCCTGAATATGTTGCATATGCACTTAAAAACTGCAGAGAAGTTATTTTTCAGTGAAAATAAATGTTTAAATAGGCAGAGGAGATTATATCATAATTATTCTTTTTTGATATCTTTAGGGTAGCATTTTAGCTATTGTCTATTCAACTTTTGTTATAGTAATTGTGTATGACTAACAAATGTGATATCTCAAAAATTGTGCATAACTCACAAATTTGTGATATCTCACAAATAATTATTATAACTTTAAACTTGTCTCTGTTGAACCTTTGATAAGGATTTCTTATAACAATGCAAGATTGCCTTTGCCAGATGCTGTGTTTTTGTATAATCCCAGATGTGGCCATTTTTGGTTTCTGTAAAACTGCACAAATTTAAATTGAAACTGAATAAAAACATCATATTAGTAAAAAAAAAAAAGTTTCACTTGAGCAAACCCAAGTATATTATCTTTTTTTGGTAAACACTATGAGATTCCAGAAAGACAACAAATATGTTCTTATGCCATTCAAATTTCCTACCTGCAAGCTTCATTGGGATTAAGGAGGCGCCGTGGGATTTGCGCGGGATCGACAGGCACATTGACTCCTGATTTGTTCTTCCCTGTTGGAGTTGTAGCTCTGGTCATATCAGCACTTCATTGACAGCAGACCTGGGATGTTGGGGAGTGGCTGAGTCCCGAGTTTGGGCAGAGATTCGCATGTCATCCTCCGTACTGATCCACCACCAATCCCTCCCTCCCGCAGGCCAGCTGCCGGAGGCTGCCATTCTCTCCATAATCTCAGGCTGCTGACAGGACTCATACATATTTATAAGGTTCAAAAAACTTTTGGTCCCATTCACCAGTTAGAGGGGGCACCGATTTAGCAATCCACGAGCACTCCCTCCCCCCACCCCCACATATTTACGCAACTTGATAAATGATGCAATCTAAGCAATAACACGTTCTTCGGAAGTTAGGTAGGAGATACAGTTTTCATTAGACGTTTCCCAGCAAAGCCCAGAAAAAGAGGCAAGTAAATTAGATTGAAGAGGAAATTCCTGACTTTTTTTTATGGAATATTAATTATTAAGTGAATCACAGTTAGCAGTGTAAGCAGTGCGGCTCCTCTCTTAATGAGACCTTTGTTAGTGCTGTCATCGTGTCATTAATGAGTCTTCCTCAGCATCCTTCATGAAGAAGTCTGCAATACACTTAGAAGCCTATTTGCAATGTGCAAAAAGCAGTGTTGTTGTCCTCAGGAGAGGCTTCCTGAAGGGGTCCCTTCTTCAGTTGTACAGTAGCTCAGTGAGTCTCTCTGTTTCTTCATAGTTCTTGGGTTGTGGGTATGAATCCCATCTCGGGTCAGCATGTATGGAGCTTCTCTGCTTTCCCTGTATTGTGTGACTTTTCCCCAGGTGCTCTGGTTAACTCACCTAAATCAGGGACCTGCAGTTTGGTGAAATGGCATTTCTAAATGAGGCTGGTGCGTGTCTCAGTGGGCTGAGGCTCTGCACGTGTCATCCAAAGATTGCTGGTTCAGTAGAGCAGTCACATATCAGTGAGTCTTTGAGCAAGGCCCTTACGCCCAGCTCCAGAGGCACCTCATGTTGGCTTAACCCTCTGCTGTGACCACCAAGCTACAGTATGGAGAGCGAGATGGAGTCAATGAGGAGTCAGTGAGGAGTCAGTGTACTTCTGTAAATGGTTAATAAAGGATTTAACATTAAATTCCACAGTGTCAGTCTGTGCCCTATTATGGAGTAGCATCCTGTCCAGGGTGCACCCCTATGCTGCCTGTGATAGGCTCCCCTCCCCCCACATCACTCTGTCTATTGTAAACGGTTGGCAGAAATGTTGTCCTTTTTAACAGGTGCATCAAGTGCCTCCAGGTCTGAGATCACACACCAGCTGGTTATCGGGAGCATGTGTGCTGCTGTGATCTTCACGTTCGTTGTTCTGATTGCCTGCTTCATCAAGAGGAATAAAGCGGGAAAGTATTCCGGTGAGGCTCCGCCCCCTTTCCACGTGAGGCCAGCCCATGCAGTCACCACCATGCAGAGGAATGCGGGGGTCACAAGCCTGTTTGCCTGAAGATCCCAGAGCATCCTGTTCACGATGAGCGACGTGCCTCCTTGTTCTCAGCCTGCAGCATTTCCTGGGCCTTTGTGTTTCTTGTCTGGGCGCGTAGAAGCGCCGGGGGGGTGGGGAGGGAGGTGGGAGTGTCGGCATGCAGGGAGGTCAGGGGCAATCACATGTTCCACTGACGCATATCACTGAATAGTTCATCGCCGCTGAATTCTGCTGGTGTTTTTCGCTGGACTTTCTTTTTCACGCAAAGCCAATTTTCTTCTAATACAAAGATAATTTTTAGCAATTTCCCCCTGGGACCTTATCTTATTCAGATTGAGAGCACTTCATGGACACCTTTTCACGGTGCATCTTCTGAAACTGAACAGGATTATACTGGGGGCGTAACGATACCGTTTGCCCACGGTTCGCTATGTATTGCGGTTTTATTGAACTGTGCGGTGAGCCATCTGCTGTTATATAATGACATTTAAATTCTAGCCCTCGAAAACAAGACAACCCCAATATATATATATATATATATATATATATATATATTTTTTTTTAGGAAAAAACACCATCTTATATTCGTGCTAGTATGTATATGAAAATGGCATATTGTGATACCACGGTTCATGTGGACGTATCAAACCGTCGGGGCCGTACCACGCAGTTCAATACTGAGTACCGTTAAGTAAACGTTGGTTAAGTAAATGTTGCAGTCAAGCTAAACATGCGTTATTTGGAAAAATAAGGAGTTCATAGTTTGGTGAAAGATGTGTTTTTTTTCTGAAATATAAGGATACATAAACCTTATTGTTACCCCAAAACCGCGATACATACCAAACTGTGAGCAAACAGTACTGACCCATGTGGGAAAAGATATTTAAGTTAAAGTTGACTTAGATACAAAAAATATGTAAACATTATGTATCACTATGGTGAAAGTGTAAAAGTTTTCACTCCTTACCTTCTCTGCAGTTAAGGAGAATGAGGATCTCCGTTCATACCAGCAGCCCCAGAATAAGAACGGCTCTTACGGATACAGGTACACGCTTCTGTTCCGCATATATCTATAGACACAGATCAGCTGTACATTCAGACTCCCTTTTATCTGTTGTGCACATGCACAGTGAACGATGATCGATACATTAAGCATATGACAGTGTTGCCGTATTGGCTGACTTTTTTGAGGAAGTCGGCATCCCTGTCGTTCCAAATATTCTACACAAGACCTAAGTGAAAAATCCAGATGTAGAGGATAAAATAATTGGTGTGACTGTCCACAGTGTGCAAAAGTGTTAAATTTAATGTCTTACAGAGCAGAGGATGTGCCGTCCATCTGTTTAGCATGGAAAGAGGGCTGTGTCAGTGGGTAGTGTCTGAAGTTGTGGGTCTGGCCAAAAAGCACATTTTTGCGTTTTTTATTTTTTTCTTGGTAAATGCTATTGTCTAAAATTGTACGTATAGCGGTCAGTCTGGTTAATTTACTGTGGTTCTTTAAATTTACTGTGGTAACTCCTACAGGACACTGAAGTAAGCAAAGAATGGAAAAAATGAGATGATACTTTTTCAATATGAGATATATGGGACTTATTTTAACCTGGAGAAATGTCAAGTTGTGTTACAGCAATGTTCGACTCATGTCACATCACCTTCTTAAAGGAAGGAAAAGACAGATGCAAGACAAATAATAACCTTTACATGAATTTAGAGGAGTAATATAATTTCAAATAAATTATCAAATAAATAATTTCGAAAAGCAGTCTGCATAATCAATAAATATGAAATGCAGAGGCGGTTTGTTTTTGTCCATGTTTAATGTTTCATTTCACATTGCTTTGTGGATTTGTGGTTTTCTCAAGCCTAAAATCAGCCATGTGAAAAATATCCTTAAGGTGGCCAAAATTCCCCAAGATAGCAGGACCTTCGTCTCCCAAGCGTCAGTGAGCATGTCAGTTATAATATGCACTACTGTACTTGTGTGCAGCCATGCCTGTGAGACTTAGGGCACCGACATGCCAGATGTCCTGCGGGTGGCTGCCATTTGCTCCTCTCCCGTTACTGGAACCAGGCCCTTCGACTCAAAAGCCTCTGCCAGCTCGGCTGCAAGAAAAACAACAACAACAAGCCCTGCTTTTTGCAGCAATCGGTGTGCTGAGTATTGTTGCACCAGTTTTGTTGGTGGTATGCTGAGTATTGTTGCACCAGCATTGTTGGTGGTGTGCTGAGTATTGTTGCACCAGCATTGTTGGTGGTGTGCTGAGTATTGTTGCACCAGCATTGTTGGTGGTGTGCTGAGTATTGTTGCAGCAGCATTGTTGGTGGTGTGCTGAGTATTGTTGCACCAGCATTGTTGGTGGTGTGCTGAAGTAAAGGCAAGTGCCCCCCTCTGTTGAACAGTGACACAGAGAGAAGGGTCTGCCAGGACAGCTTGAGATACATCAACCAGAATGGAAAAGCAAATGTTAGCGCGGAGAGCCTGGAGGACTGCGGGGAGAGCCTGATGGACTGCAGCGAGAGCCTGGACGACTGCGGGGATGACGACGACCGTTTCGGGGAGGATGGCTCCTTCATTGGCGAGTACTCAAGCTGCAAAGACGTAAGATTAGGTGGAGTTCGTGGAACAGCTCCAAACAGTTAAACAAGGGACGATGCTACAGTGCAGTTTGTAAAGGGAAAAGCGGCAAGTGAATTTGCGTGAAGTCCAGTTTTACACAGTACTACTGAGCACCTATTAGCTGTACTGTCATCTCAGTACTGTACGGCCTGCTGGTGCCTTGTAACGCACAGACACAAAACACATCTCCTCAGCTCTTACAGTTTAGTACAGAAAAAACAGGTGTGAAACCATGAGTTTTTTTTACCTTCTATAACAGAATACCGATTGCATTTTCACGTCACCTAGGTGGAAGGTGTGAATTATATGCAGTTTAAACTGATTGCATAGGTTTCAGAACACTGAATTGTGGCTTTTTTTCATTTTAAGCACACAAACTTCTACTATTCAAACTATTATTTTTGCAGTAATGTTAATATAATGTTAATATAAAAGAGAATTGCACAAAAAAGTATGAATCAGACTCATAACAACAAACAAAATGTTAAATGAACAGTATAGTTGTAGTACTGAAATACATTTTATATATTTTTTCCAAGATATAAACCCTTACCGAAATAAAGAAAACAAAGAGAGAAGATTTCATTTATTTTTATAATTTTTAATTAAGTAGAATTTTCCAATTGCTTAATAATTTCCTCAATTTCCTAATTCTCAGGAACATAAATATTATTTAGGCTGTCATTTTTGGAGGATATAAAAACTTTAAATTCTCATCAGTATTTCTTCATATTTTATTCACTGTAAATTTAATTTATATATAATTTGTCATTGTAATTTCTAATTTTGGATACATTTATTTCTTGGTTGAAAAGAGAAAAATGTGGAATTAAACAATCTACTATGTTAGTGACAATAAAAATTAATTTCAATTTATGTTCACCAGTTTTATACAATAAAAATGCACCTAATATAAAATGTTAACTGTGTGTCAGCAATACCTTGGTTTTGGTTTTGTCATATTATGGTTTTGTCATGTCATATGGTTATATTTTCCATCCACATTTCCAAAACAATGCACATTTATTAATAGGTGAATAAAAAGCTTGCATACAGCTTAACAATCATATATATATATGGCTGGAATGTATCTACAGGATTCTGGTGATGGTGCTTTTAAAGAAAATCCTTGTAACACTGGGTAATGTGTGTTGAGTGTTGCCGTAGTTACTTAGTATTAGTTACATTAATACACGCATGTAATGTTTTGCACATGTAAGTTTACTTACATTTTGTAACATCAAGTTTAGATATGTTGTGAAATGCTCTGTTAAACATTTTCCCAAACCACCTTCCCAAACTGCAAAATAAGAGCTGAACAGTGGGGTGTCAAAGGGAGACGTCACAGAGAAATAAGGTAAAATTCAAGGTACAAGGTAAAATTCACTAATTCCAGCGTGAGATGTGAGAATGGCCCCACGCGTAGCTCTCCTGCGTGTTATAAATCATGCATGCAAGCCCATTTGTCTTGAGTGCCTGGTGAAACCTTACCTTACTGTCACTATGGGATGGGCTGTTTTTAAAGCTGGAAGATAAACGAGACTCTATCCACGTCATAAATCTCTGATGGTGCCACAACCGAGAAGCTGCTTCAGACACTCTGTGTCTTAATAATGCAATCCTTTTATCGGGGGAAAAGACTTTATTAAAGGTGGTCAAATATTACCTCAAAGCAGGGCATTCCTATGAAGGTAATAACGTAATGAGTGTATTCTGAGCTGACCATTAATATGCAGAGACCTTTTGATGTGGGACAGCCTCTCGGCAATGTTGTAACATTCAGATACCCAGAGACCAGTAATCAGCTCAGCTTCATCTATCTACTTTCTGGCCTAATGGGTTTTTTAAAAATTTTGTCCTCTAAAATGATATCACAAAGAGGACATTGGCGATGGGGCAACAGCGAAGGATATTAGTGAATCTTTGTGCTCAGACAACTTAACCCATTTGGAACGCAATCTTAAATTTACACATTTACTGACATGCACATGACAGAGCAACTGAAAATTATGATCCTTTACAAAACATTAATCGATGCAAACAAGGCAATACATGTAATAAATGCAATGACCCCATTATTTAGTATTTTAAATATTAACTTTTAAAATAAAGACATAAAAAAGATTTTAGCAAGAAGTCACATAAAAAGTTGGTTCTTTGTGGCTTTTCAGAATGAATTTGTACTTTTTCCAAATATAAATTTCAGATTAAAAAGGTAATACAATTCAAATACAACAGGATGTAAGGATAGGCTTAACTGTATTGAACATGTAACATCAAAACATATTGCTGCATTTTTGATTCCTCCCTGGAATGTATTTTAGGCAAAGCAAATGTGTTTATATAGCACCAGTCATACACAAAGTGCTTTGCAGAATATTGAAAAAGTGCTTAGAAGAATAAAAAGATATGTAGGCCTACTAAGAAAATTTTAACCGACATAAAGTCTCAGGAAGTTAAAATACAAGAAAATACATATAGGACAGTCACAATCATGAATGTTTTATCAATGATTAATAAATGTGTAGTTAATAATTAATAAATGCATTGATTACAACACAAAGCCATTTCACCCATTTCTAGCTTTAGGACCTGGCATAGCACCCCCCCCCCCCCCATCTCTTCATGATTGTCCCCCAGTTTGAGCTTTAGCCCTCATTTTTTGATACAGCTGGTATATTAGCACCAAGCAGCCCCGCCTCTTTTGGCCGCCTGGCAAATGCGCTGCCTGGTCATGCCTCCACAGCGGCCAGAATGAAAGGAAAGGAAGAGTCAAAGGGGGCTCAATTACCGACTGTAGAGAAACGACGGAAGAATAAAAAATATAATCATCCCTTTCCTTTTATGGCCCAAAACTGTTTGTTGTTTCAGTAGTTAACTACACAGAAAATTGCAAAAAAGTAATTTAACTACATTAATCACTGGAAATGCATTTGTAGCTGAATTAGCATCAAGCTACTGCAAAATGTAAAGGACTAGTTTAATTACATGTAGTTCACTACTCATAAACACTCTTTGTAGACAATTAAAAGTATTTTAAGCTCAATTCCATAGCTGACTGGAAGCCAGTGTAAAGGCTTAAGAATTTGGGTCATGTGCTCTGTTCACGTCGTTCTAGTAAGATGTCTTACACCGATATTTTGAACTAGTTGTAATTGTCCAGTTGTCTTTTTAGTATTTCAATTATTAGTGTCAATATAATTATTATATTATTATAATTTATATAATATTAGTACACTGCCTGGCCAAAATAAATATTTAGTTGGACCGCCTTTAGCTTTGATTATGGTGCACATTTGTCACTGCATTGTTTCCAAGTGCTTAAGCAATCTCTCAACATTTTTTTTTCATCCTGATTTGCATTCATTTACTATCCAAATCTTGTATTGATGATAGGTGAGTTGAACCACTCTGTAAAGTCTTCTTCATCACATCTCAATGGGGTTAAGGTCAAGACTCTGTGGTGGCCAATTCATGTGTGAAAATGATTCCTCATGCTCCCTGAACCATTCTTTGACAATTCGAGCCTGATGAATCTTGGCATTCTCGACCTGGAATATGCCCATGCCGTTAGGGAAGGAAAAATCCATTGATAGGATAACCTGGTCATTCAGGAGATTCCGGTACTCAGCTGACTTCACTTCATTGCTGCATAACGTTGCTGAGCTGTTATAATGACCCATTCATTGGCTCTTAAATACTTCATGATTTAAATTCAAACATTGACCTTTTTGACCAGGCAGTGTATTTCTGTGTTCTATAGACTGTATTCATCAAGTTGTGTTTTGGTGATTAAACTGCATTTTGAAGGTAAAATTAAGCGTTGGGCAAGGCTGCATGTTGGTAATGCAAACTGAGTGAAGAATTCTGTAACAATGATTTAAAAAAAATACTATCGCACTTTAATTGAACCATAAAAAATAGAAAAGAATAAGATATGAAAACAAAATAGAATATTTCATTGTGACGGAAACTCTGGTACCCAAATGTGGCACATAGGGAGTATATTCGGGCTTGGAAGCAAGGGATGTCAGTCCTACGGACAACACACTGGACAGGAGGCAAGCACAAGGGGAGAGTCCAAGGGGACCGGGATCGGGGCAGGACTGGAGCAGGACAAGCAGGACAGGTCAATGATAGATGGGAGACAAAGCAAAAACACTCAGCACGTTGCATAAATGACAACAATACCTCAAGTGCGGCCGAATGGGATTAAATAGTGAGTTTTCATGAGGGGGGTGACACCTGGGAGGACCCCAGGGGCAAGGAGCCAGCTTGGACTGGTGGTCATGATGGAACTAGAGCTCACACAATGTCCCCATAACGTGATAAATATCCGTTTTTTCTCCCTTATGGGGACCGGTTTCCTGGTCCCCATAAGGGAAAACTGTATTTTATAAAAATCAGTGACTGCTATGAAAAAACTAAAAATGCAAAAAATTTTTTTTGTTTATTTGGTTACTTATGGTTATGGTTAGGGCAGGGTGGGGGACAAGGTTGTCATAGTTAGCGTTAGCATTTTTCCCATTGAAATGAATGAGCGGTCCCCATAAGGATATGTTTACTTTACACACACACACATACACACACACATACACACAGGTGGGACTCAAACCCCAACCCTGGAGGTGTGAGCCAACACTGCTGCCCCTATTATGCAAAAATATGAATATATAACTCCTACTTTGGACATTTTATGAACTTCTATTTCAGTACACGGTAGACAGGTTAAATGAAGATGATGCATACTGTGATTCTACTGTTCTCAGGCCTCAGTTAAATGTGTGCTGTGTTACCACAATGGGAGTAAGGACTGAACTGGGAGCGACATTATTTTTATAAACAGAGTGCGCTAGGGGAAAGCTCTTTAAAGGCTTTTGAAAAATCATTCACAAAAACTGACACAGGAGACTCACGGGGATCCCAAGATTTAAAGGTCCCTTAGGGTCTACAGTTTTTCAGCAAAATTAGTTTGGGTATTTTGGGTCACCTAAATTGGAATTGAGGGCATTTTCATGTCTATGGGTTACGGTGAAGAGTAGATTTACTTAAATGGGTTTATAGCCCAAGCACTTTATTTTAAACACAATCCTGTTAAAATGGTACAACTTAACCTGTGCCAGAAAATGCCTTCATAAAAATTCAGCAAACTTGCACACACAAAAAGGAGAGTCATTAGTATTTACTGCATTCACCATATCCTGTGATAGCAGGATGTGAAACGTCAGAAACACACAAGGGGTTGGTCACTGAGCCCCATAGAGTGTCCTGTAAAAAAGCAGCATCGCAGGAATGACTCACACTAAAACCCTCCAGCCAATGACAACATGCTTCAGATCTGGTTACCATGAATGAATTAGTGGAATGAAAACCAAAGGTGTTCCAGCTGTCCAAAAACCCAGAAAAATGTGGAACGGATATGAAGCAAGGGAACATTAATGAAAGACTCATCTGCTTCACCAGGACAGTAACAAAAGCAGAGCGGAAGTCACCGTTCATACTGACTGTGAAGCAGTATATTCATTATTGCTATCAAAACCTGTAAATAAATAAATAAAGCACAGCATAATTAATTGCATGTACACCTAATATAATAGGATACATTTTTTAAGTCTATGTGTATTCATACAAAGGAGACATGGGATGGAACAGTGATTTGTAATTGATGTAGAACTTATAGGAAAAAACTTTGGAAAGTGCACTGCAAATTTTGCAGATGGACTGGTAGAGTAGGACAAAGTTCCATTCTGAATAAATACATCAGTTCAACTGATCCTGTTCGATTTAGACAAGGAGTCAGTTAATTAAAAATTCATTATTTATTTAAATTAATAGAATTCCCAGTTTAAAAACCTGTAGGTTATTCCTGCATATAATCACTAAAATCCAGGTGATTGGTGTCTTTTCAGATTGACCGACATAGA